CACCCACTGACTGCTATTTTGGATTACCCTGAGACAGCCCTGACAAATGGTTCTTCTTCTCCTTGGGCGGAGTGGAGAAGAAAGGTGGCCCCAAGGGAGATAGATCCCATCTCTGGTTTCTAGAGAAGAGAGCACGAAGAGGCACAGTCCTGACCTACGTTTGTGAATTCTCTGAAAACATCCAGCCAAAATGGATGGCCTTTCCATGATAAACGTTCCTTCGCAGAAGAGAAAAGTAAAAGACACTTGGAAATCATAGAAACTTTGAAGAGGAAAGAAGCCTTTGGTTATGGTTACCCGAATAGACATGTGCTGTCGGACTTGTGCTAGCCCAGGACTCTGGGGACCAGTAAGTGCATGGAGATGGCTCACCCCAGCTTGAGTTGCTCCATCCATCGATTGACAAATGGTCCTCGAGGGCCAAGACATGTATGAGAGAGAGCTGGGGGTAGGAAGAGTGATAAGAGCCCCTCACGGCCCTCAAGAAACCCTCAAGCTAGAGAAAGATACAACCTTAAAAACAGATAACTTGTAAAACCAAGGGAGCTAAGTATGTACCATATACTCGTGTATAAGCCGAGTTTTCCAGCACATTTTTAATGCAGTTTTTGTGGTAAAATTAGGTGCTTCGGCTGATATTTGTGTTGGCTTATACTCGGGTATATATGGTACTTTCCGTTCTGACTTTCGTGAGCTCGTTTGATCATTTATTATCGTTGTTGTTAAGGAAATATACAGCAGAGCACACACAATAATGTAGAGAAATTATTGGGTCACCATAGAATCACGTTCATCATAGTTATCACATGAACTGTTACCGATAATTAATTTGTATAGATCGTCCTTTCCACTCAGTGTTTAAGCTGCACTATCATTGTGTGTGACGCTGGGGAGAGATGAGGCTTTCTGCCCCCCCAGAAAGATGCACACTCTCAGAAACCCACAGGGGCAGGGCTGCTTCAACCCAGGGGGTTGCTGTGCGGGCGAATCAATTCCATTGCAGTGGGTGGGGTGGGGTTGGCTTCTTGACGGCTGGGGTAGGTGCCATTGAACAGCTCAGAACAGCTGTACCACAAGAGAGTGAAACACTGCCCGGCCCTGGGTCACCCTCATCATCAGGGTGCTGCTTGAGCTTCTCATTGCAGCCACAGTTCATCTCCTCGAAGGGCTGTCTCCACCTGACACAGAACGACCCCTTTCCCCAGGGTCCTGTCCCTTCAGTTAACAGGTCCAAAGTATGGGAGACAAAGTCTCACCGCCCTTGCTTCTGAGGAGCATCCTTGTAAGACACATCTGTTTCTTCTGGTAGCAGTCCATTCAGTAATCTTCACCAACACAATTCCATTCGTCTTTGTTCTTCCTTATTTCTCGGCCCGCTTTAAACATGTCTCGGAAGCCATTGGTAACACCATGGCTTGAGTCAGGCACATCAGAAGTACCATCTTTTTTAACTCTTGAGAGAGATCTTTTACAGAAGGTTGACCCCAGACAGCACATCATGTGATGTCTTGACCACTGCTTCCATGGGCATTGATTGTGGACCCAAGTCAAATGAAACGCTTGCCAACTTGGGCCTCTTTCCCCACGGTGCTGGGTATTGCTCCACGAAGCTAGGTCTACCACTTGCCCAACTGATAGCTCCTTGTGGTGCAGTCGGTGCTCAGCGAAGATCCCCCAGAGAAGGAAGTGAGGTCATGATGCCTTTATTCTCTCTTGTCTGCTACACTGGTATTTTTCATTGTCGGCAAGTGTGCCTGGATCTTGCTCACTTTTTAGCAGATATTCTATAGTCTTTTCTGTGTTCTGCTCCTTCATCCCACACCACCTGCTCTTAGCTGCCCACTCTCTGGATGTGACTGGTGTTTAAAATTGCTGTTGCTTAACCATTTGCACCACCTGGGGACCAGGCAGTCCTAAAAGCCTCCCAGAACCACCCCCAACAGAGTAGAGGGAGAGGAGGGAGAACATTCATTAGGGAAGATGGTCCATGGTCTGCCAAGGCACCGACTGTGGCCGACTGGTGCTGCCCATTTCAAACACTACAGCTTCTGTCATTTGCTGGTTTTCTGGGAAGAGACTGTGATTTCTCCTCCCTTCTGAATCCACTCAGCCCTGTAATTCTGTGTCCTGAACACCTGCTTGCGTTCATAATCCTTGTCCCATCACTCATTTAGTTACCAAACTAAGAAAAGAATCTTTACATACAAGGTGGGGGGGGGCGGGGGATTGTCTTTAGGTCTGACTGTGTATGCTTATGTGGGACCCAGGGCAGAGGCCTCCTTGCCTGAGTTTTAGGCAGTACTGGTGGGCATGGGTGCTTAACAGCCTGCATTCGGGCAAGCTGGCATCGTAAAGCAATGTGAATATCCAAGATCAGCTTTATCGCACTCCTAGCACCTTGGTGGCACCGTGACTCAAGGTTCAAGTGCAAACCAGAAGATCAGCAATTAGAACCCACCAGCCACTCCTGGTGGGGAGGATTTTTGCCTTCTGCTGTTGAAAAGATCACTGCCTGGGACACCCTGCGGGGCAGATCTGCTCGGTCCCATAGCACCAGCAGTGGGTTTTAATAATGCACACACCACTTCCTACACATTCGGTGGGTCCATACCGTTCTGCAAAAATCATCAGACCCCTTTGTTTGGCATCTGGGACCCAGGATCAATATGCAGGATGAGCACCCCGGGCTTCAGAGCTTTAATGCATTTCAGAAATCACATCTAAGGAGAAATGAAGCAATGACCATCTCGTGCCAATGGCTAATTACTCCATATTACCATTACTCCAAACGGCCAATCTTAGTTGCATCTTGGAGAGGACTCAAAGGGGACGTAAGACGTCACCGTGGCGTCTGCCCACTCCAGAGGGTCTTCAGACTGGGGAAAGCGGTGTGTCTCCCCGGGAGTTGGCTGGAGGCTGATTGTGTTCAGATGTCCGTGCCTGGTTGTGGAGCACGTGGCTCAACGCTGACCCTGATTCTGTTTTTCTTCGCAGTTCAAACTCTGGGCCTGGGACCCAGAAGAGGAGCGTAAGCGACAGGAAAAGTGGCAACAGGAGCAGGAACGGTTGCTCCAGGTAGGAGGTCGTCTGCTGTGCCCCCGCCTTGCATGCTTGTTAAAGGTTCTGTTGCACTCGGGAGACTGATAGCACGGGCGGTGGATAGAGCGAGACTGGTCTCGGAAGTTGATGAGTGTGTGTCCCTGCAGCCAAGTGCCCTGGGTCTGTCTGACTCCTCTGGCCAGAGTCACACCAAGGAACTTAAGAACCCTCCACCTTGACCCCTTCAAAAACTTCCCAGGATTGGTCCCCTCAGCCCTCAATCCTCAATCCCCAAATTCCAAACCAATGGGCGGTGGGAGTGAACCCCAAAAAGGCTGTGTGACAGCACTTGTCTGAAAGAAAGGCTGCTGTCGGATCCCTAAGTAGAAATGTTGGCTCCACTCTTGAGTCAAAACTGCTATTTTTTTTTTTAATGAAATTCTAGAAAACTTGTAGACATACTTGAGGCCTACTGGTGGGCATGGGGGATTAAACCGCCTGCATTTGGGCATGCTGGCTTAGTAAAGCAATGTGACCATCAAAGATCAGCTGTATCGCACTCCAAGCACATTGGTGGCACCGTGATTCACGGCTCAACTGCAAACCGGATGCCTCTGTTAGCCTCATACTGGTTTCCTGCCAATTTCACGGTCAATGGGGCTGCCGACAGTACCCCAGGTACCCTTAGAAAGCCACCTCTGCCAAGTGCTGGGGACAGGCCGGCACCGTGGCCGGTGCGTGGCTTGGCACCATTCACCTCATTGCATCTTCTCACAGGCCTTCAGGATCAGGGCTGATAGCCACCATGTGCCATTGGAGAGACAGAGGCTCCCAGAAGTTCAGTCATTTCCCCGACAGGAAGCAAGTGCTGAGCCCACGTTCCAACTCACTTCCAGAACCTGATACAGCCCATGCTGTTTCCATTAAACAGTACTGATCTTTACCCCAAAATAACAGCCAGGGAGAGAAAGCTAAGCCTCATCCAGTAGATGCCCTTCTGGTGCCGGGTAGCAAGCTATGACGGATGCTCGTCTGTTTCATTGTCTCTCTTTCTGCTCTTCAGCTGTTGTTCTAATTGATTTCCAGGGGACAGGAAGGGGCTGTTTAGATTGTCAGTCGATCCTGGGGGTGCGGCCTTAGCTCTGGGGATGACAACCTGGTTACGTGCTGGGCTGGAAACTAAAAGGTTCGTGATTCAAACCCAACCATCGACTCCGCGTGTGGCAGTTGAGGCCGTCTGCTTGTGCACGGACCACAGCCCTGGAAACCCGGTAGGGCAGTTCTACTCCATCGCTATGGGTCAGAATCCACTTATTGGCCAGGAGTTTGGGTTTGAGTCCTGCTCGTGGAGTGTGGTGCTTTGTTTGAAAATGCAGAGGCTCAGGCTGTTCATAGGAGTCCTGGTGGCACAAAGGTTAAGCACTCAGCTGCTCATCGAAAGGTCAGCTATTTGAACCCGCCCAGCAACTTGTCGGAAGAAAGATTTGGAAACCTGTTCTCTCTCTCTCTCTCTCTCTCTCTCTCTCTCTCTCTCTCTCTCTCTCTCTCTGTGTGTGTGTGTGTGTGTGTGTGTGTGTGTGTGTGTGTGATTTATAGAGTTTTTATTGGATGATTTTTAGAAGCAATTTTTAAAAAATTATTATATTGGGGTCTTGTACAACTCTTATCACAATCCATACATACATCCATTGTCTCAAGCACCTTTGTACACATGTTGCCATCATCATTTTCAAAGCATTTTCTTTCTACTTGAGCCCTTGTTATCAGCTCCTCATTTTTCCCCTACCTCCCTCATGAACCCTTGATAATTTACAAATTATTATTATTTTTTCGTGTCTTGCACTGTCCGCCCCCTTGTCTGTTGTCCATCCCTCTGGGAGGGGGTTATAGGTAGGTCATTGTGATCAGTTCCCCCTTTCTCCCCCTGCCTTACCTTTACCCTCCTGGGATGGCCACTCTCAATATTGGTCCCGAGGAGTTTATCTGTCCTTGGAAACCTGTCCATAGAAAGAGTATTGCCTCCGGCACCCTCCTGGGGCAGCTCTGTTCCATGCTACAGGATTGCCCTGAGTCAGAGTGGACTCAGGGGTATACCAC